AGGCAATGAATGTACAAATGTGCTTTACACAATTGATGTATGAATGGATTGTGATAAGAGTTGTATGAGCCCCTAATAAAATGATTAAAAAAAAAAAAAGATAATGGACCAGGGCTCCAGTAGAAAGCAAATGTTTTGAGAATGATGATGGCAACAAACGTACAAATATGCTTGACATAATGGATGGATGGATGGATTGTGATAAGAATTGTACAAGCCCCCAATGAAATGATTAAAAAAAAAAAAAGACATTTGCTGATACCAAAGGCTCAATAGAAATTAAATGTCTAGAAAATAATGATGGCAATATATGTACAAATATGCTTCATACAATTGGTGTATGGATTGTTATAAGAGCTGTAAGAGCCCCCAAATGTAGTATTGAATTAAAATTACGATGGGGGTGAGTGGGGTGGCACCCACCACTACTACTACTACCCACGGGTTCAGTAATGCACAATTGTATGGTTGAGATATGTAAGTATTGTATTAAAGTCATCAAGAGCATGAGATACAAGAGATATTACAATGATGCAGTCAGATACATTTCATAGTAGCATTGCTCACCTCAGCCCAGCTTGGTGGTCCACGTGGAGAGAGGGGGAAGGGAAGGAGGGCAAGGGAACAAGGGAATGGGGGAAGAGAGAGGGGTCAGAGAGATCAGAGGGAGAGAGGGTCTCTCTCGCTGACCCACACCTATATACCTTTTGGGGGCATGCTAGCCCACTAATTACAGGTAGAGACATATGTAACAGGGTGGGGCTGCACTATAAGTTACAGAGCAATGAGAAGGTGGTCTATGGGGTGGTCTCTGGGTCTCCATAGGAACCATTATCAGTAGGGTGAAAACTCCGCCTACAGGAGCCTGCCCATGGTCCCCAGAGGCAGGGAGCAGGACCACCCCTGTGGTGGGATGAGACAGCAGTCTGGCAACTGATTGCCCTCAGGGGGGGAATGCCTAAGCATCTGACCTCCCCCCACACCCAATAAAATGATCTTTAAATTAAAAAAGGAAGTAGGTCAAGGGTTATTCTCCCTATAGGTTATCAGCCATCGAGAACAAGCAGACACCACTGTTTATCCCACAACAAGTAGGGCCCACTCCCTTTTGATAAGGATAGTAGTAATTGTTTCCCTGAAAGAGAGCCTAGGGAGGTCAAGCCACCCAAGGTTGACCAAGGTTAGTCTAGGGTCCGCCCATCTTGTCACATGCACACCCCTCGCTCATCCCCTTCCTGTCCCGCGCATGCCTATCGTACATCCCCTTCCTATGATGTGTACTGCCCCTTCCTGTGACATGTGGTTACCTGTAATCACACCCCCCTAAATAGTTATAAGTCTTGGTTAGCAATAAAGTCCCCCCCCCTCTTCCTGTTGTCTCCCCCATACCCTTCCTTTCTTGTTGGCTCCCTTCCTCTCCCCAGTCCTCGCTCCCCTATTCCCTTTCCCCTTGTCCTCCTTCCCCTCCCCCTCTCTCTCGCCCTCGGGTCTCCCATCTCCACGTGGACCACCAAGGGAGGCTGAGGTGAGCATGCTACCATGAAATGTGTCTGACTCCATTATTTCAATCTCCCCTCTATCTCATGCGCTCTATGACTTTATTATAATACATATATTAACCATACAATTGCACCTATCAAACCCGTGATTGTTTGTGGGAGCTGGCCTTTGCCCCACCACATTGAGTCATGATCCACAC